CCCAAGCCCCGAAAACCCCAAAAGAGGTGGTGTTGGTGTTGAAGCTAGAGAAGGGGAGGGGACGGGATTGGGTTTCGAGGCTAGAGAAGGGGGTTTCAGGGATAAGGAAGAGGAGGGGGAGGGAGGGGGTTGATTTCGGGGTGGTTGGGGATGGTGGTTACGAAGGACAAGGAGGGGAAGTAGGTGGTTCGATGTGTGGCAGGTGGCTGCTTTGCTTTTGATTGATTATGCAGGTGGTTGCGAGGGGTGTTTAAAGGTGGTGGTCAGGTGGTTGCTGGGCAGTTTGGGCTGGTAGGTGCGGCAGGGGAGTAGTGATGATGGTGGTTGGTTTGTGGCTACCGATCGGTGGTGAGGAGATTAAGGGGCTGCAGCCTGCGGTTGTTGCATCTAATTGGTGGTAATTGGCTCGATCTGGGTGGCTGAAAGTGGAGCAGTTTTTTTTTTTTTTTTTTTGTTTCTTAATTTTTTTTTTTTTAAACTTTTTTTGGACCAATGACAGGCTGTCACGTGTCATGTAACCTGTTATAACAGGTTACATGACCGGTTGGGACCAATAGAAAAGAATGGGAGGTAAAGGTCGGATTATTAAAAAATAATCCAAAGGTGGGATTATTAAAAACGAATGGCCTAAAGGTGGGATTATTCCCATGAATTTTTCCTTCCTTTTATGGAAAGCTTTTACAATATTTAATTCATTTCTCACACTTAGTGAACCCAATATAATACTCTCTCTCCTCCTATTTTTCCACTACTTTTGCTTTTTACAATTTTTTATTTTCTCAACTACCCCACTACCTCCATATTTTATTATATTCTCCAATTTCTCCTAAAACTCCGCGCATGGAAAAATGGAGCAAGTATTTAAAAACGGAGAGAGTATTAGTTATCCGTAGTATAGATTAATCGGAGTTACCTTCTACTTGTTATTTTACTCTTGACCTCTTGTAGTATAGATTAATCGGAGTTGCCTACTTGCCTTCTAGTTATTTTACTTGTATGTGAGAATTTTGACGGAGAACAATAACTCAAATAGTAACAGTATGAATTATTGTCTTCGATCATTTGGCCATTCATGAAGAAATTAATGGCAACAATGTTTCACGTTTGAATTAGTACAATACTATGGATGTCGTATCTCGTATGGTGGGGAGGTGATGACAAAGGTGAAAGTGAAGGCGTCTGATGTAGCACCTATTGATCTTTCTTAATTAATTATTGGTCATGGATTTGACATTAAAAATGTGATAGCATAAACAGCCGACACTTGTCCGGGCTTCTTCACCAAAAATAATGGAGTAAGCCTATTAAATTATGTTATGTTCACCTAATTTTCATTTATTTTAATATATCTAATTTTTAAAATTACTAGGACAGCCAACGCGCGCGCTGCGCGCGGAATGGCAAGCCATTTCGAGTTAGCTTTTTCTCAGCTTGTGTTTGGGAATGGCAATATCCATTTATCACATGTGTACGTAATTATCACAAGTGTAGCTAAAACTTGGCAGTGTTTGGGTGGAACAACGATTACTTTAGTTGTGGACGATTACTATTTTACATTATGTGTATAAAATAAGTGATTTTTTTTTAATAAATCCTTACGAATTTAGGTCATAGTTTTAAGGTTTATTGGAACAATTAAAGCATCTAACCTAACGCATAATATTCTTAAACCATAACCTTGAAAATGTTACAAACAAAAGGTTCAAAAGCAACAATTACAACCAAACATTGAGCATAATATGTTGTATGTGGCAGTGTTCTTGTATGAAGAAACACTATGTACTTATTCATGTTGTAGCTAAGTTGTTCTAGTAGAGTCTAGGAAAAGGAAATGACTTTGATAGCCCACTTTAGAACCCGAAGTCTAGTTAGGGTCTTAGGGATGTTGTTAATGCAATCTAAACGTACATTAGCTTGGTTGCCAAGGTGGTAGCTATTACTTCAAATTTTTGCTAGTCGCCCTGTGAAATAATGCATTGAACAATACTAACCTTTTTTTTAAAGGTGAAGGAGACATTAAGATGAAGGAGAAATAGGAAAGCCAAGTATATAAATTGTTGGAATTATAAAAGAACTATCAGTTTCCTAAAAAAAAAAAGTTATAAACTCTAGCAATTCTTGAGTTACAATTATTGTTTATGGGAATAATTATTGCAAATTATTTTTAAGTACGGAGTACTATTTTAATCTTCCTATGACAGATTGATAACGTAAAATGTTGTGCAATAAATTAAAAATATAGCCTCCATTGAGCTATTGTGCTTCATCTTCTCTGGGTTTTCTTCTACTCAGGGATGGTGAATAAAGATTGAGGAGATAGAAATTAAAGTGCAAAACTCATTAATGGGTAGGGATTATAAAGGGGTAAGAAGGTAAATAAACATTTTGAAGGGCAAAAAGGTCCGTGCACTATTCATAAGAACAACTTCCCACTTTTTATAAGGTAGGGATATTCTACAGAGTTTTATGTGTGGCTAGCCGCACCGTACGGCCAAATACAATTTTATTTTATTTTAGTTTTCTATCTTTCCTCTCCTCTATTTTCTCTCGCTATCTTTCTCTTTCTAACCTTCAATGGCCGAGCACCGACTTCCCCCGCCGTCATATTCGTCCAGATTTCCTCGAAGCTCCAACCCAGATCTCCTCATTTTCATCGTTGTCTTCTCTCTAACCATAAGTGGTTCGTTGGTGGTGGTTTTTGGTGGTTTCGTGGGTGAGTAGTGGTGGTTTGGTGGTTTTAGGTTCTAGTTCTAGGTTCGTGGGTGGGTTTGGTGGTGGTTTCGTTTCTGGGTAGAAGTGGTTTTATGGTGGTTTTGTGGGCGGGTAGTGGAAATTTCGTGGGTGGTTAGTGGTGGTTTGGTGATTCTGGGTTCTAGGCCTGGTTTCGTTGGTGGTTTAGGATAGTAGTGGTTTGTTGGTGGTGGTTCTAGGTGGGTGGTAGTTTTTCGTTGGTGGTGGGTCATGGGTTACTAAATTCGGTCAAGGGTTACTAGGGTGGGGGTTACTATATGAGTTACTTGAGGGGTTACTTAAGTGGGATTACTGAGAGGTTACTTGGTGAAAATTAGATAATACACCCGGGTGTACCATGCACATGGTGCACCCGCGTAAACAAAAAAAAGCCGGAAAGAACATACAATGTTTGATGAAGAACATATCTATGTTTGACAAAGAACATACCTTTAATATGTTCTTTGAGTGTGATCAGTATGTTCTTTGAGTATAGTTATATGTTCTTTACATTAAAACTTATGTTATTTAACATATGTTGATAAACATATATGTTTTTTTGGGTTTAATACTACAAAGTATGTTGTTTAAATTTGGCGTGTACGTTCTTTAAGGTCGTAGTGACGCTCAAATTCTATTTTTATTATCATATGCCATATTTAGGGCCTGTTCTCATACGTTGAAATTCAGTTCAGTTCAGTTCAGTTCAGTTCAACTCAATTCCTTTTCTTATAAAATATTCAGTTCAGTTCAGTTCAGCTGAGTTCAGTCAATGAGAACAAGCCCTTAGATAACTTTTATTATCGTATGTTTTTTGAGTTTGATCAGTGTGTTAATTAGGTATTAACTATATGTACTTTCCATATAAATTATGTTCTTTTAACATATGTTATTTTGAAATTTGATATTGAAATCTTAAATTATTTTTAATTGAAAATAATATTAGAGTAAAAAAACTAAATTATTATGGGAAGTTGACTTTTTTGGAGAGATAAAAAACTATTTTTTGGGGAAATAAAATCTTTGGTAAAGATTTTTAAAGAGGTGATCAACATTGGCATGACTCGCAGCCCGACCCGAAATAGGGTGGGTTTAGGCAAGCCTAAAATGCATTTTTAGTTAAAATCCAAACCGGGCCCGAAAAGCCCGAAAACCCGCTACTTTTTCACGGGTTTGGACACGAGAAATTATGGTATGGCCCGGCCCTACTCGGTTTTTTTATCACCTCTAAATTTTTTCCGTTAATGTATAATTTTTCAGAAATTTTTTATTAAGTTTTTATCTCGTTCTTTTTATTATTTTTTTTTTATTAAGTTTTTATCTCGTTCTTTGGTAATACATGTTTTTGTCAAATACAAACATGTTCTTTGTCAAATACATGTATGTTTTTTATGAAATACAAGATGTTCTTTCCGCCTTTTTTTTATTTATCAAGGTGTACGATGAGCACTGTACACCTGTGTGTCTAAACCAGGGATTAGTTACTTGGGGAGTTACTTAAGTGGTGTTACTAGGAGGGTTACTTGAGGGGTTACATCTACTTAAATAATGAATACATCTAATAACTTATTGAATTCATGACTTAAAAAACGCCATATTAAGGTAAATCTCTACTAAATACACCTAAGTACTAATTGGATTTTTTCCCTAGTGTTGATCATGTTAGAAACAATTATTGCTGCCATTGGTCAAGAGTGTAATGTAATCAACTTCTCTATTATTTTTATTTGTTACTAATGTTTGTTAACGTCAGAAATAATGGACTTTAATCTCTTAAAAATCTTGACCTCAACAACCATTATTGTTTGCATGATACTAGGTATACAGTTAGTTATTTTCAACTTCTCAAAAGATGGAAAGCTATATCAGTATGAGAAAGGGTTGCAAAAGCTTGAACGGTTGAACCCTATTCCAACGATGATGTATATATGCGCAATTGAAATTCCCTATGAGTATTATGTATGTAACGGAACCTCCATCTTGTATCAGGTATACCTAGACCTTGCATGTAACGCGTAAGAACGTATCTTGCAAAGCTAAGTAATTGTGCATCATCAAGTGTGCAATCAGTCAATTACAATGTAGCTAACATACAGTTAAGTACTAAGTATTCAAATGTTGTTAGACTTAGTCCAAGGAATCTCCCAGCTAAGAGGAATCTGTGACAGATAATGAGAAAAGGATGGCTCTATAATTAATCACCATCTTTAATTGACAGAAGAAATCAACAAAAGTATAAGAATTAACATGGGATATACCAAAAGACTATATTGATTAAATATTGACATGAAATCAGTATATAAGGACATAGATAACGTAAGTTCTCTTTGCCTAATCGTCGAAATTTGAGGCCAAACAAATATTAATCAGTTTTTCATCAAATTTGCTTAGCCATTGTTGTGGGTGTAGATTCACTAGGTCGATATCTACCAAGAAACAGCAATGGACAACAGACCGGCACAGACTTATTCTGAACACATCAAGCAGCGCCACCATGATAAAGGATGGATCTACGCTTGGTTTGTCACTTCTTTCCTTCTAATCTCCTTTCATGAAGTATAATGAATGTATGACTGTGTAATACAATATGGTGTTATTTTTTTTTTTTTTTTTTTTTTTTTTTATGTATTTTGATCAGATTTTGGTCTTAACAATATTCAATTACATGAGTACTGTCCTCTATGTTACTAATTAAGTCGCGTAGTTTATAATTTTTCTTATATGGAACTATGGAAGGTTCGTTATTATTTACTAATGCCTGAAATTTATGTTGGGACTGCAGCTTATTTACTCTGTGCTGCTGCTTCTGCTGTTACGAGGCATGTGAGTGCTGTCTGAAGGTTTTCTGCTGCTGCTGCGACTCTGATGATAAAAATGAGGATAAAAGGGATTAATTACTCCTAATTTCTTTTTAATGAAAGTATGATATGTGTAAAAAAAATCCTAAAATACTGAGTATATCTCTGCTTATTTGTTACCCTTTATTTCATTCCATGTTCTTACTGTGTGCAGGGTGTAAAAAAAAAAGTGCTGTATGACAGAGTTACTAGCTCTGATGTCTTCTAGTTCAAGTATACATATCATAAATAATAAACTTTGGCTTTAAGGTGATGATCAAGTTCCTTTATGCTGTTTTTTAGGTCGACTATAGTTTATAAAAACACGGTAATTAAGGAATACTGCATTTTCATAATCACCTACGGAGTATGTGGTTTACTGCCCTCCTCTTCCATCACCTCGCTTTCATTTTCCATATTCATATCATCTCTAATTTTCAAAAACCAAATAAAGGAAATTTATCTTCTGTAAAAGATCAATTTCAATGCAAGTTATACAGGGCCAAACCAAACACGGCCTTAGACCTTCATGTCTCGTACCAGAACTCGAAGCTCCATCATATATATTTATAAACTTGATCAATCGTTATCTCCCAAGGGGTTTTTCAAGAGTAATGAAAGAATGTGCATGTCAATAGAAGATCTAATGTACAATAATGTTACAAGATAGTAGCAAGTAATAGAACTACATGAAATATGAACAAAACCAACCTCTAACAGTAAACACTAAGATCAGCCGATGAGAATAGGGTTCCTCCCTTCATCTATCTCAACAACAAGGGTATGATTTGGATCTGATCCATTTGGTCCTTCCGCGTAAAGAGTTGGTAGATAAGCTTTGTAGGCAGGCAAGTAACGAGAAACAAAGTCCAAAACCTGCAGAATGCACCCACATGAAGGAATATCAACTTAAGAACGGACAGTTTGCAGGAGCCCCCCCCCCCCCCCCCCAAGAAGCAGGGAAAAAAATCAGTGATTATTTGCAGCTGCCACAGAAAATTTAGTCAATAGGACAATATTGCCTCAACTAAAATTTCCTAGGTAGAAATATCATCACCCTAAAAATATCACTGAGATATAAAATGTTCACCTCCTCGTCTGACATCCCTGATTTTCCATCTGCCCTCATGGCATGCTCTGCCTGTAAAGAAACAACCTTAATTTCGAATTGTACTTATAAAGAAGAATGTGACAACGCGTAAAAAATGATGAGAAAAAAACCTGAAGTCTCCACTGATAGACACAGCTTGGGTCTTTGATCTTGATTACTACCCATGCCTTTATATACTTGTCCCATGCATCATAATAAGCTCGCAGATTTTTATTTACTATTTCAAGCTGTATAGACAGGAATTAACACAAAATATAAATTAAAATGAGCGCATATGCAGACCGGGGGGTTGTCATGCTGTTAAGTTGCAAGAGTGTGTACCTGTGGATCAATATCTTTCACCACTTCATCTGGAAGGGGTTTGAAACCCAACATCCAGCCTTCAAAGAGAATAGCCTACAAATGGCACAGTAACACATATAAGTAAAGCAAAAACACAGACCACGACAAGGAGGATTATATAGGAGTCTCTCATCAAGTCATCAGTCAGATCTAAAAATGTACTTTCAAGTTTAAAGCAAAGAAGTTATATCTGTTTGAGCAAGACAAATATTCTGAAACTAGCAATTAAGAATCAACAGTGTAATCTATCATCCATTTCAATACAGCAGATAAATTTCGGAATCACAGATTGCCAACATATTTTCTGAAACTGATTGACCTGTTACCCAATTACTCTGTAGGAGATAGGACTCCAACTTAGCAGATACCAGATTAAATTAGCAGGTTTCACAAGCAAATAAGAGAGCAGATTCTGTAAAAGTGTTCAGTGAATCAGTAGTTCTCAAAAAAGTGATTTCATATTTGAATGTATAACATGACATTTAAGGATTTGAATAATTCCATATTATTACACATAGAATAATTGCATAAGATAATACTTCGTAATTAGTAGTTTAAAGGACAATCAAGTGGTTAGAATTTCAAAAGCAAATTTAACCTTTGACACACTTCTCCTTTTAGCATATTGGACTAGTTGAATCTTACAATTTCTGCCGCAATCTAATTTTTATTAAACACCACCCTCTGTCAACGCACATAGCAATTGGCTAGAAGCTTCTAAACAGCCAAAGCAAGTAAAGGCGGAAGAAGGTAAGAAACCCCATAAGACAGAATAACAAAAGATATTGGAACTTGGCAGGGGCTGTTATCTAGTAAGACCCATAATAACACTATAAACAATGAAAGAACTGCCATTGTAATCCAGAAATCTGTAGCTTCCCAAAGTGCTCTCATGGAGAAGATCATGCCAGAAGATACAGGTTTTGAAGGTAAGGGAAATGTATTGAATTTTAGGTTCATGATGTGATCTGATATCAATCTCAAAATAGCGAAAATTAATGCAGATGGCATTTCGCAGAATGTAGACAAGAATTTGGGGTTTGAAATTGTACAGCCAGTCAATAGAATAATAAAACCTCAAAGGAACTGAAGCACTGAACTAACTATGCAGAATTGCAGATAAAATATCATTCATAAGAAGTCTGGCTTTATGGAAGAGAATGATCACTGTTCATGTGAATAAAGGTAATAATAAGTAGCCTTTAATTTGGTTATGAGTTAGAATTGTATCTGTAACACTTTCTGCTAAAAAAAATCCAAGTAAGCAGAAAACAATGACTTCTCCACAGTACTAATAGTAAAAGGCACCCATTTTGATTGTTACTGAGAAATATTGCCTTACCCTGTAAATAAAGGAAATAACAAACTAAATACAATTCAACATAATTGAAGCACAAAAAGATGTGCTTCACTCAATGACCAAAAAATAGGTTTACCAGTGTGCCTTAAATTGAGGTGATAAACTAGATGATACATAATGAATCTAATTGAATAAAAGAACAAGATATTGGAATTTAAAGCAATATGTTTGGGGATCAAAAGAACCATATAAAGAACTTCTCACCGTTAGTGGCCCTTCAACCTCTGGCCATGTTTCAGGATCTGCTCTGTCTCCCCTCCCATTATAAGCAGACTGCATGCAGATTGAACAAACTTCAGAGTTCAAACATGATCTCAGGTGGACAATTGAAAGCTTTTTATGCTTACTTTATTGTATCTTGGAACTTTCATCTTCATACCTGAAATATATATAGTTTCTATAAATGGAATGATTCTGAAATATTCAAATGGAAAAGAAGAAAAATCCGGAAAGAAGAAAGTTCAGCAAGTGGATTAGCAAATATTATATGAGAAGATAATATAAAGATGAAAAGGCTTTAATTAAGATTATGGACAACTGTGGAAGTGAAAGGATAGACGTGTGCAATGTACTACCAAGAGGTTGCACATGTTCTAGCAATCGGACAATGATATTAAACGTAAAGCAATACCTTCTTCAGTTAATTTGCTCAAGGCTGTAAGTGTTTCGACAGAAAGCGGTAGATCATGGCTTCCAGCATTTCCCCGGTACTGAAAATAGTCATTTGACATCATCAGTGCACAAAAAAATTGATATTTTCTATTGAATTAAAATAATTGAGCTAAGCAGGCTGGTCTAACCTCTAGAAGACTATTTCCTGAGTTCGCTTCTCTTAGTTCACCCTACAGTTACCATGAAATTCTGTCAGAAAAAGACAATAATGATACAGACCTCAAATTCTTTTATCAGAAGCTCTCTCTGAAACCACTGGAATTAATACCTGCTCTTCAGCTGTCAAATAGAAATCATCAATGGATATTGTAGCAGTTTTCCTAGCAGAATTTCATGTTATCAGTCCAACAAAAATGTCATACTTTTCTCATCAATTTCTCACAAGTACATGTCATGTTCCTTAAATTTCCAATATGTACCTGCCAGTAATTTGGAAAAGATAGTATAGTGCGAATACGAGTGTTGTCTTTCCACAACCTTGTGGTGCACTAAATCCTATCTGCAAAAAAAGAAGGCTTATTTCAAACAATCGAAACAGGAAGCCTTTCAAAGGTATTCGTAATATACTTCCAGAATTTATATGTAAAAAGTATCACATAATGAATATATACAGCTCAAAAATTTGTACCACTAGAGGAGGGACTTCTTCTCCATCTTTGAACTTGGATGCATGTTGGGAGATTTGATCTTCACACCATAAGAAGACTGGTATATAGTAATGGTAAAGCCTGATTTTCTGAGCATCATCTAGTTTAAGTTCATTGAGTTGGAATACTCTACAAAGTTGAGATGCACACAATAACCATTTATCGATTGACTCAGCAATCTTTTGCTCAGTAAGACCTGTTTTATTTATAAGGGGACCGGAACATATAAAGGCAAAGAGGTCTTCTACAGAGGAAACTGACACAGTTGATGTTCTTGGAAGGGCTAATTGAACCTGGCTTGGTCTTCTTCCATTGTTATACATGTTTCTATGGCTGGTAAGGTTCTCTTCCATCCATGAAAATCTACACCCTGCCGAAACAACATCTAAATAAGTTGAATTTTATTAATGAATCCAGAGCTTAGAATCTGTTAAAGTTACAGATACATATTTATCAATGAAGTAAAGGTTACAAGCCAAATAGAATTAAAAAAAAAAAAAAAAGAAGAAAAAGAAAAGCAGCTCCTATTTTATTTGTATAAGCACATAAGCTATTCGAATTGTAACATTGAGATTGTTCTATTTAGCACCACACAACTAAAACTAGTTGGCCCTATCATCATGCACCTGTTTTCAGTTCCAAGGAAACCATTATGCTACTAGTTCAGCACCATGAATAGCTGTCCCTACTTAGAAGCAAGCATCCTCACCCCCAATCCAGTCTTTTCTTATCATTCCAATAGAAGGAATGCTCATGAAGTTGACAATTTGAAAAACTCAACCAGGCTGCCCTTTGTTTTCCCTCACACAGTCACACTTGCAGCAACAATGCCCCAACCCGTCTCAGCTTTCTCTCAGTGTTAAGTATCCCAGAGGAGAGGGCAGGGGCAAAGAAGCTAAGGGGTGTTAGGTATGAATATTGGAAACGGAATGGAAAGGAAACAAATAAGACCGGGGAAGGAATCATTTAACTCTTAACATTTTCATTTGTTTGGTTTAACAGGAATCACTTAAACCTAACTCTAAATATTTACAGTCTCTAGGATTAACCGATGCAGAGGTAGAGTCAGTTCCTTTTTTGGAGTTCAATACTTTGGATTTCTGTTGCAACACATCTAATTTATACACCTAAGAAACACCTTAT